AAATATCAAATACCCAGTACTCAGAGAACTTCAAAATATCAAAATTACCTAATTACTCATTACTTTTGCATATAATACAGGCCAGATTTCAAACAGGAGTCTCTAGTTAATGGGTTAGAAATATCAATATCAAACATACATCAAAATTCACCAAATAATAATACAAAAGCTTTCATCAACCATAAATTATCTATACAATAACATACAATCGCCTTTGGCTGAAGAAGCAGCATAGGCCTATTTATAGATTCTGACATTCTACTGACAAGGAAATCTCCATTTCTCTTAGAGAAACATGTTAGAGTTAAACAAAAAATATTTGCCGTTACTTACAGTGCTCGGTGTATCTGTGAGTGAGCTTGCAGACCTCGAAAATATATCTGTGCAGAATATCGGCCAAAACATCGAGTGGGGTCGAGTAAATGCCTTGGAACCCGATTGTCTGGCAAATCTCTGCTACTGATATTTTGAGAATCTCATATTTAAATTGGTTCGCCATTTTAGAATCTAGGGTATATGCACATCACTCGGTCACTGGTAAAAGTTCGTTTCTTCATTGAGATTTTGGGTTTCTGTCAAAGTTTGTGTTTCCGAGACGCCGAGCGAGACTCACAGCCTGCCATTTTGCATTGATCCCCGCACAGGGTAAATAACCATACTATTAGGATATTTGATGTGTCTTTTTTTATCTTCCTTTTTTCACGATAGTCCATTGGAACGAAAGTAGCATTACATATAACTTCTTTTCATGTAACTGGTTTAATTTTAAACTCTTTATGGGCATGTAAGTAAAATATTGGTCAAATACAATTAACCTAAAATACTAAAAGAACGACTTCCTCAGAACCAGTTAAACGCAGCGCTTAAGTCACGTGACCATCCTCGAAGCGTGGTCAATGCGGATTGTAGAAGTGTGGAGGATAATATCCTACACTACCGGTATTGCTTTATCAATAACATTCTTGTAAACCCCATGTCAAAATTAAGATAGTTAACTATTCAATACATAATCATAAGAGAGCCATGTGTGGACGAAAAGCACCCATAAGGGAGAATAATACTCCGTTTGTAATCCTCTATGAGCGGAGGTCCTCGTCCCGGTCTGCCTTCAGTCAATGGGTGCCCGACGTCGGCATCTAATGTACACGAGAGGCAAGGTGCTCTCTCCTCTTCTTCCCTAAGATTACGCTAACCTACATTTCCTATAGGGCTCTATTACGGCTCGCTGGGAAGGTTGGGGGCTTCTTTAGTCTGTCCCTTCACCAGAGCATGTAAGAGCGAATGGGAGCGTAATAAAAAGGGGCTGAAATCGGGACGAGACCCAGAAGGTTGCAGTCGAGGATGGCCAACCGCACGAAGCAGGGCGACGGTGCTCGGTAGTTCAGTCTCTTTCTTATTTTCGTGTGTTTTGTCGTCCTCGTTCATACTCTGGGGGAAATTATAAGCGGTGGTTTGAGCAATCCGCCCAAAGGTAGATATTTCAAAGGGAGATACGGTAGGTGAGTACATTTTCCGGCCCAATTATTGTAGACGTGGCACAGGCGGTGTCGCGGCGGTGCCACATCTCCCTAATTGACACCGGGGCGCTGGTGCCACATCTCCCCCACTTGACACGACCGCTGGTGCCAAAGCGCGAGGCAAAGGTGCCAGGTGTCAAGAGCGAGGGAGAGAGGAGGCGGAGGAGGAGGCGTGACACAAAGCCGTGCTCAAAGCCACAACAGCCCGCGAATCTCCAGTTCGAACACGGAAAAGGATGAACTCGAACTCGGAACCAAACACGATGGAGTGCGTGAGAGGGAGAGAGAGCCTGGAGCACGTGTCTCCATTACTACTCTAATTAACTTTTATTTATCTCCCCTTTTTATCCAGGGAAGGTTTTATAAAATTGGCTGTCAGTGATTTTTTCAAGGTGTTTTTATTCAAATTGACCCCTTATTTAATTTTGTATCATTTGGAAGTGTGTGGGTTTTAATTTACGTGTTTAATGTTTGTTATGTATGTGAGTTTTATTTTGAAGTGTATTTTTTCACACCAAGTTTGAGAACATTCAGTTGTCACTTGCAATAACTTATTTTAGGATATGAAAGAATTTGCTTATTCACATGATGAACCTTGCAATCCAATATAGGCGTACATGCAAGAAAAAATTAAGACTATTTGGGCTTATTAAGAATTTGATTTTTCCTTCTCAGTGGAGACTGAACTATTTCATTAGCAGTTATAACAGGGAATTTATGTAATTATGTTTGCTACAAAACAGAAGGTTTTGCTGTTTGTCTGATAATAAGATGGTTTTAATTGATGAAAGAGGTACTACATTGCTGAAGAGTTAAAAAAAAAAGTATTGGCATATTTGCTGAAAACATTGTAGGAAACACACACAAATAGTAATGATAATGCTTAGAAAAACATAACGGTTTTCTTATATTCAATTAAAATTTAACCAGGAATAGGATAGTTAAGATTTACTATTCATAGGCTAGCATGGTAATGGCATGAT